CTAGACCCACAGCTAGTTCCTGATTGTCCCTCTTGCGTTGTGGCGTGGAATAACAGCGCAGACCACGCTTCAGTATTATATAATATATTGATATTATATAATCAAAAATATCTGCGACAGGCTCACTGCGACACACTGCTGCAGGGAGGATAACCAGCCTTTTACTTAGCAAATTGTGCAACAATCTGCTTTTTGTATTACTTGGAAATCTATCACTTTAGTTTTGCCAGTGCTGAGATACAACCTTGTTTCCAGCTGAACCTGGACTTCCCAAGGATCCAGAACTCATGGTTGTCAAAATGGATCTCTCCTCGTGGCGGCAGGAAGGCGTGTGCCAACTCTCCATTCAGGCCATCAAAGCAGGGGTGAAGAGGAGACCACCAGCAATCGGTGTGGTTAAAGGTGTAGAAACCTAACGGCCAAAGGACATTTTGATATGTTCAGAGAATGTTTTATCTAACAACATTCACACCATTCAGCTTTATAGTATCAGAGGAGGTCTGGGGTGTTTAACTTCTGATCTGAGCAAAAGTTAAGGTTTAAAAATCAGCAAAGAAGTAGCAAAATAATAAAAATAACATTTTCATTTATTTCCTGACAACTGTTTTTTATTATTGCTCTGTGACATCATACCGATGGTGATGTCAGCAGTGGCGTTGCCTTCTGTAACCTCAGTGAAGGTCAGCGGAGACACATCGCTCCACTTTGTGAAGGCGATGCTGATGGCCTTCCGGGTGTCCTCCTTGTTCAGAGTGTTGGGGAACTTGATGATCCTGGATTGATGGAAAGACAGCGGCTCAATGGGCATCTCCTGCTGATTTAGAGATCTGCCTCATTCTCAGAGGCTCACAGATTTTCTGCTACGCCAAAGTGTCACACACCACCAAACTAGATGCATTCCTTGTCAACATGCACATTGACAACAGCTTGTCACCTGATATCTCAGTACTATCCAACACACCTTAACAGATCAAAACATGGACCAGTTAACAGCCTCTAACACCATTATCTGTGTCTGCTGAGCTCAGAAAGCAATTATCAGTGTCCTGCTCAGATGTATCTGTTGCTGATCTACCTGTATGTGATGTTGTGATGACCCCACTTGTTTCCCAGTGGGTTGATGGCGTAGCGTCTGATTCTGGCTCCTCTGTCAGAGAACGTCTCTGTCATTGTTCTGCTGCCACAGGTCTGTAAATAAAACACCAATATTTAATTAGCTCTCTGAGGAACAGGCATGCATTTCCTCCAGTGTCCACCAGGTGATGCTACTGAAAGAACCTTCCTTCCTTCCTTCCTTCCTTCCGGAAGGAAGGAAGGAAGGAAGGAAGGAAGAACATTTCACTGTTTTACAATGGTCATCTCAAAACTGATCTCAGTCCTGTTAAAACAGGAAAGTTGAAAAGGCATCTGAGAGTGAGATGACCTTCAAGTTGGTCACACCAGTTCTTCTAAGGCAGCGGTCCCCAACCACCGGGCCGCGGACCGGTACCGGTTCGTCTGCCATTTGGTACCGAGCCGCACAGAAAAAAGTATATATAAAGTGTATATATATATATATATCTATATATATATAGATATATATCGAAGATCAGAGTCGGAGTGATGTTTTATTTTGAAAAATATAAAAAAATGAGGTATTCTCTCCCAATTACATCAGTCGGTGCATCTGTGCCTCTTGACACAGATTAATTCAGTTCAAGACTCATCCTATCTATAACATTCTATCTTTGTGAAGCGGGATTTTCTGCGGTTACAGCGACCAGAACAAAGCTAAGGAGCAGACTGGACATCATGAGCACACTTCGTGTGTCATTGTCTCCGATTACGCCTAGACGGGACCAGCTTGTTGTTTTATTGTTTTGCTGTTTGTATTTGATTTTATGCCAGTCATTTTACTTGATCGTATTACCACCCCCCCAGCCGGACCGTGAAAATATTGTCTGACATATAGCGGTCCTTGGTGCAAAAGAGGTTGGGGACCGCTGTTCTAAGGGGAATAGGCCAAGGTATGGGGTAATATGAAGTATACATTTGTACTCTATACTTGTACTTTTTTTTATTTGTGCTTGTACATCAATTATTGTTACTCATTCATTTGTGATTTTTCCTCTTAAAAATTGGGATTAATACAAATTTGTGATTTGAAATTGAAATTTTTGATTAGTTCTCATATATCAGTAATTTTTACACAGAAATGTGTGATTTGTTTGTGGTTCACACTTATAAATATCTGATTCGGATTCATAAAAGTGTGATTAACTCTAGTAAATTTATGATTTGTACTCATATATATTTGTGATTCACGCACACATTTATGATTTGTGCTTTTAAATTTGTGATTTGTTTGTGATTCATACTCATAATTTCTAATTCTCACTAATAAAAGTGTAATTTTTGTTTATAAATATTTGCTTTGTTTGTAATTAAAAAATGATACCTGCTGTCATTATTCTGTCATTTAGAAAATATAGACTAATATCTATAACTCTTTAGGACATAAAACAGATTCAGATTTTGTGTCTGACAGTGAGAAAAGTAAAAAGCTTCTAAATTTCTTCACACACAGTAAAACTTCTGTCTTCAATTGTAACCTTTCTTGCTGCCCAGGCTCTCATGGCCATATAAGTGGATAAAGTGATTTAGCAGAATTTGGTATAATTTATATATCTATATGGTGCAGCTCTGGTTCTAGACATTAGTTTAGGATCATAACTCACTGCGGGGTTTTATTTTTATCAGAACTCGGTGTTTAAACAAAGGCAGTAGGTTACTTTCATTCTGCACAGATGTAAAAACTTTCCTTTCATGCTCCCCCTCCTCCCAAATATCTGCCACCCACATGTGAACTGGGCTCAGAGCCTCTTCTGTTCTGAAACATGTTTTGGCCCAAACTGGACCAGAACACAGCTTTGGTCATCACCCAGAGCAGCGCCCCCTGGTGGGAGAGATAAAACAATCTGGAGTGAAAATCAGAAGTTTCTGAACAAACAGGCTCACTGTGCAGACTTAACTGGGCTCCTATTGCAAACCCGAGCCATCTGATCTAACCCCACCTCCTGCTAAATACCAGGAGTCCGGTCCAAGAGACAAAACACATTCACCTCCTCTCTGCCTGGAGAAACAGGAAGAAAAAAAACTGCATCTGGGCTGCAGCTTTAACCTGTGCCTCCCTGTTCCTCCCAGCAGGCCGAGCAGCTCCTGCAGGATTTTGGACCCGAGGTTCTGATAATCAGACTGGATCAGGGTTTCAATAAAACTGAAAGAACTAACATCCATCACATGTTTCAGTTTTAGATCCTCTGAGAGATGTGAGGAAAATTGGAACAAACTGAGCTGCAGCTGCTTCATCCAACCGGACCTCTGTTTGGATCCAGCATTCAGTTTGTAAAGAATTTAGAAAAGCTCAGACTGGAAACCAGAAGAACTTCTGGCAGCCTTACAGGTGGACCGACCAGTCCAGGTGAAACCCACCTGGTGCTGCTCTGACTCACCTTCATGCAACTGCAGACCTGCAGCCTGCTTTAAGCTTTGCTGCTCTTGGTTCTGATTGATTCAGATCCATGCAGACTCACAAAACAGGGAGAACTGAGTCAGAACCAGCAGGACGACCAGAGCAAAACAAAAACCTGCAGACACTGAAGTCCACAAAGAGAAAAACCGGGACTCTCAAGTTCAAAAACACTGCTGAGCTGAGGGGCCCCCTCATGAAGCTCAGGGGCCCCTGACTTAATCACACACATCCAATGGTCTGTTTGTCTGCAGACACCCGGAGGTCAGAAATCAGTGGCGGTTCGCTTGTTTTGATGGGGGAACAGAAAAGCATGAAATGAAAAAACAGGGCAAGGATTCAAAAATATTAATATCGCTGCATGAAGGGAAATTTCTATTCACTTAGATTTAACTAAAATTCTATTTCTTATTATGTCAATATACATTCATAATTTAGGAATTTTGCTTATTTTTTTAAAACTAATTTAGGATAAAATTACTGTTTTCTATAAAATCTGAATTAGAACTCCAGAAAAAAAATAAAAAATCAACCGGAAAATTTTGAAGAATTTTTTTTTTATTTGTTTAAAAAAAACATTTAGCAGATGAAAACTGGGATCCTATCTCAATACCACTGAAGCTATCACCTTATTGTTTTCAAATAATTAGTAAAATCAAATGAAATAGATCCAAAATGACCTATCAGTAGATTAATATAATTTCTTTGAGTAGTATGTCTTCAGTAAAGGGACCATAACAGGGGCCAGGACATGATCTACAGGGGCACTGGCCCCTGTTGGCCCCTGTCTAGAACCTCCCATGTCAGAAAACCCAATCAGCTGATCCAATCAAACGCTGATTCCGATCCGGACCCAGAACTTCTCACTGACCTTTATCAGCATCATCATGAGGAGCAGAGGGAGCTTCATGGTGTCATCTGCCGCGGTCCCTGCTTCCTCCGTCCCGTTAACAACTCGCGCCGCTCCGCTGCCGCTCAGGGAGCAACTGATGGAAGTTCACGGAGTGTGTTCGCTGCTGTGAGCGGGGTTGTCCGGATGGGCGGGGTCAGGTGTGTGCGCGGTGTCCGTTTACTCCGGGACATTTTAACCGTTTATGCGCCGAACCCATCCGAACCTTTCCAGAAAAGAGGAACCGGCTCCTCTCGGGAAGACAAACAAGACTCTGTGCAAAGACTCCCAGGCCCCCCGGAGCCTTCAGGGGCCCAGGTACTGTAGGGTCACCCTGAGGTGTTTTTTTTTTGGTCCAGATGTTTGGGACATCTGTAAAAACAGGCTGCTTGAAAACAGAGAGCAGAGCTCCACAGAGGAAAAGATCCCAACCTTTGATAATCAATAAATCTGCAGGTTTTATTTATTTATTTCCTTTGAAACACTCTACTTCAAATACATTTTTTCTAAATTTCAATTCAGTTCAGTTTATTTGAATAGCGCCAATTCACAACACATGACATCTCAAGGCATTTTACAGTTCAACCAGATCATCCAGTCAAATTGATTCAAAGTTTTCTATCTAAGGAAAACCAGTTGATTGCATCGACTCATTGACTCAAATGCAATCCCTTACACTAAGCATGCTTGTAGTGACAGTGGAGAGGAAAAACTCCCTTTAACAGGAAGAAACCTCCAGCAAAACCAGGCTCAGTTTGAGCGGCCATCTGCCGAGGCTGACTGGGGTTCAAGGAGACAGAAGCAGAGATACAAAAAGCAGCTGTAAAGGCGTCCCTGTCCAGGAAACACACAGCCAGGCAGACGAGCTCTGAGCCAACTCCCATGTCAGAGGATGAAGAGAGCAGATCCAGCCAGTCACAGTCAGAGAAACAGGACTACACTGGAAAAACAGGCAGATCTCCAACATCTATAAACAAAGGTGTTGATGGCAGCAGCACAGCTGATATTTTTCTCCAGGATGACGTTACAGCCAAACAGGAACAGACCATATGAAGCTACTATGAGAAAAGCAGAGAGAGCAGAACGTTAGAGATTAAACTAACAGATTCTGCAGAATAGGAGAATAGAGATAGAATGAAGCAGAATGATGAAAAAGGGGTCCCTATGTCCTCCAGTAGTCCAAGCCTATAGCAGCATAACTATAGAGATAGCTCAGGAAAATCAGTCTACAATTAATTTGGACTGAAAAGAATAATAGAAGTTTCAAAATCCGATATAAAAACAGATTCTGGTTGGTTTGGAGCTTTAGTCCTACGGTCTGGTTTAGATAAGAACACCAACACTAATTAACAAGGCAAAATCAGTGTGAGGACCTGTATAAAAACAAAAGTGTTTGTTATAGAATAGAAATTAATTTATGAAAACACGAGAAACACCAGAAATAAAATCAAAAAGAATAACGGAGAAATAACTGTCAAAGTTTTGGTTCTGTTTGAGTTTTCTGCTTTTCTTTTTCTAGTTTTATTGGTTTAATTCCTATTTTGAGGTATTTCTTGTTTGCCCTCTTGTGTTGGTCTCCTTTTCCCCTGCTCCTTTCTAGACTCCTCTTTTCACACCTGCTCCCTGCTGATTAGCCTGGTCTCTGTTTCTCTCTCCCATATAAGCACCTCCTGCTCAGTCACTGTTGCTGGTTTGTTGTCATTTCATCGCCCCCTTGTTGTAGATATTCCTGATTTTCAGTATTTTGGGGGGATTTTGTGGACTTATGTTTTTGGATTTTTGCTTCCTTTACACTTTTTGGTTAATTTAATCTGGCAAAAAAACACCTCAGCTCCAGTCTCTGCATTTGGGTCCTGTCAAACCTCCACCCTACTTGACAATAACAGAATCACGGCAAACTTTGCTGTGCAGCCATGCATCTATAAGGAAAATTGAAATAACCACCAAGTTTTCTGGAGGTAGTAATGTTGTAAAGTCTTAACAGCTGCAGGGAGGAAGGATCTGTGGTAACGCTCCTTTGTGCAGCTTGAGTGCAGCAGTCTCTCACTGAAGGAGCCTTTTAGTTCTACAACTACTTCATGCAGGTTGGGAGACACATTGATGGTATTTAGGCCAGAGTCCTTCAGTCACCCATCACCTCTAGTTCCAGACAGAGCTGGCCTCCCTGATGAGCCTATTCCTTTTTTTTCTGTTTGAATGAACTCAATGCCAAGATGGAAGCAGTGACTTTTAGGCAAGCTACTGCTGCTCATCAGTCATCTGGAACTTGTTTTAAGGCCACATCTGAACTATCTGAGGTCCAAAGCTATGCAATGGTTGCTAACATATAAGGCCTGAGATGAATGTGCTGTGGATTTCAGTGCTGTCAAAAGTTCACACTTTTTTTTACTTAAGTAGAAGTACAGATACTGCAGTTTAAAAACACTCTGGTAAAAGTTGAAGTATCAACTTGACCTCTTTACTCAAGTAAAAGTGAAAAAGTATTTGCTCCAAAAAATACTGAAAGTATAAAAGTATAAAGTGACCTTTTAAAAAAAACAGCCAGATGCCACCAAGGAATTGAAAGCTCAATTTTTCGACCAGATTCGCTCTCGCCTGTGTCCGACCTTTCAGACATTTCAACATCTTTTTCTGAATCCAACATTGTAGCATGGCATAGATAATTCACATTTACAGGTTGAAGAACACCTGCTTGCTTCTGATGATTTCCTTTAGCTAACCAATGAGTGTTTGCGTTATATGACTCATCCAATCACACTAGTTTTCACTTGATGTGGATGGAGCCAATGATCTGCATTGTATGACGCACATGACGTGAAATAAATATTTATAAACATTAAACTAAAGCCAAGAATAACGAGTAATGTTTATTTTTACAACTGTAAGGAATAGAAAGTACAGATACTTGTGTGAAAATGTAATGAGCAGAAGTCAGAAGTAGGAAAGAAAACAAGTAATGGAGTAAAATATAGATACCTAAAAAGTATACTTAGGTACACTTGACACCTCTGGTGGATTTAGCCCAGAGCCAGAGCTCAGGCATCTGAAGACATGTTTTTTTTTTTGGTAGGATGAAGGATATGTCTTTTTCTCTCTAAAACAATACGGAAGCAGAAATTTGGTTGTGGATCTGAATTGGAATAATATGTCTGGAACAATGTTCAGAGAAATCAAAACCCAGCATATCTGTGCAAACGCCTCATAGCAGCTCAAAGCACGGTGGAAGAAGACTGATGATGTGGGCCTGTTGGCATCAACAAATCTCCTACAGTGTTTACATTTTGATCACTGCTGCTTTTAAATGGAAATGTTCATTTCACTGCTAAGCTGCTCATTCACTGTGAAAAAGCTGTATGTATCGAAATTTCGTTTTGGATACAGTCTGTGTATAAAGAATGACAATAACGTGTTTCTAAGTCTAAGGCAAATGTGAATCAAAAAAGTAAGATCGAAGGTTCTGGAATGGCCTAGTCAAAGTCTGGTGCTTCAAACCTTTTTGTGCTCATTAACAAAAAACAAAAAGAGGGCCAAAATACCTTCAAAACAGTCCAAGGCTGATTAAGTCTTCCCTGCTGAAGCTAAAGACGGTTCTGTGTGATCTGGGAGGGCCGAACAGGTCGCTGTGAGTTTTTGACCCGGTCACGGTTTAAATTCAGCGTCCCTCTGCTCCTCCTGCTTTCTGATTGGTTGTTTGCTCAGATTATTGATCCCTGCAGCTCAAGCTCTGCTGACTGATGATGTTTTATTGTCATAATTAATCTGGAGAAACTAATGAGCTGTTCAAAGCAGACTCATTAGCTGCTCCGCTCTCTCCTCACCGTCATCATCATCATCATTGTTATTCTAACTGTTATTGCTGTTGTTATTATTATTTATTGTTGTTGTTTATCAGTGAAGGACAGCTGGTCACCTTCAGTCTCCCTGCAGAGCTCAGCAGAAGCTGCATGTTAATGAGCTGCTCTGCTTCTCCGCAGCGGCTCATGGTGACATCATCATGAGGAGGAAGATGATCATACTGGTTTGGGCTCAGTGTCTGAGTCCTCCCAGTGGTTTTGGTTCTGGTCATTTAGGGTCTGTTGTTTGAACCGAAGGGTTTGGGTCAAACTGCATTTTTTTTATTTAATCTGTAAACCTTTCCCAACTGAGGCGAAGAGAAACGGTTGAGATTCGACCTCTGGTTGAAGGTAGGAGCGTCCGCACAGTGGCCTTACCATGCCTCAGGCCCCCAGGGGACCTCCTTCAGCGCATCACACAGAGAGGAGGAGGAGGAGGAGACGGACTTTCAGAGCAAGCTGAAGGATGACAATTTAATTACGCTTCTGTTCATTCATCTGTCGATCTACACAAACAGGGAGAAACCCCTGAACACACACTGAGCAACACACTGAAACTAAACACACAGAGCCTGACTTTCACAGAAACACTCTCACACTGACAGAAACAGTAAAAGTCACAGAGACACACTCTCTCTCTCTCTCTCTCTCCTCCTCGGCAGGTTCCCACAGCGCTCCCAGAGACACCACCTCCTCCTCCTCCTCATCTCTGAATGGAAACTCGCCGTCTGTTTACAGGCTGGTGGTCGTCATAGAGACCAGCAGGTCAAACTGGACATTTCAACGATGTGACATCTCACTCTGATTGTCAGCATCCAACTGAGCAAACACCTGCTCCAACTATCAGGACTCATAACACGTTTACTGATAAGAAAGACCATCGCGGGACTCATTGACTGTTCGGGCCCCAAACACTGCTTTGAGGTGCCATAGACTTTCATTCACACCTTTAGGGGCGCTAATGAAGGTTTTACAGAGCTATGGAATTCCACAAATACACCCACAGACCCTCTGGGGCCCCACAGACCCATATGGACTCCAAAAACTGTTAAAAGCATTCACAGATCTGTGGGGCCCGACCAACCTCTAAAGTTTTTACAGACCCTTTGGGATCACGTAGACCCTTAAGGGCCCTTGTGATCTTCAGAACTTCCCATAGGATGCTTAAAAATCCCTTATTCAATTCTTAGAGGTCCAAAGACCTGTAGAGAATCAACAGACAGTTGAAGGACATGATGTAATGTCATAGTGTCAGGAAACCACCAGGGACCCACAGCCAGCAAGGGACCCCACATCCAACAGAAACAATCCACTTCCGGTGTTGCTATCCAAGAACTCTGTAGGAAATTATTTACAAGGAAACAAGGAAAGAAAACGTACTGTTAAAAATCAGGGGGAAAAAATAACTTTAAACTCTTTAAACCTGCGGAGGAATTTCACAAGTCTGCGGTTATTTGATGTACAGCGCCACCGAGAGGACACAACAGGTAACGATCAGGAGGCAAACCTCTCATTGGCGCAATAAATAAACCCGTTTTAATGAAAAAAAAGGCAGCAGGGACGATTAGAGCCGTGGGTGAAGACCGAGCTGATTCCCTCCAAACCATACGCAACAAAACACTGTAACAATTTCTGACAAAATCCACTGCCGAACCCGAAAGAGACATCGGGGCGTTGGTGGTATAGTGGTTAGCATAGCTGCCTTCCAAGCAGTTGACCCGGGTTCGATTCCCGGCCAACGCAGACCTTTTCCTCTTTTCGTCTTTTTTGTAATCTAACCAACTCTTAAAGCTCGAATCGAGTGTTACGTAGTGCAACGAAAAGCACGATTATGCTCCAACATTAAGATAAATAAGCTAAACAGGGATTTAAAGCCTTTCCCACATCAAAGTATCATTGTTAACGCTGGTGTTTTAAAACAAACCCAGAGCGGATATTTATCTGGATGGCAGATCGTGAAATGATGGAAGATTTTTGTCACTCCTTGTGAACAGACTAATGTTAACGTATTTCATGGTGTTGTAGTATTTGACTGTTCAGATGACTGTCCGCATGGGGGCGCTGGGAGGCAGGGAATACAGTTACGATCCTGGTAGAGATCCCATCCTGCGGTCTGATCCTGTATAATTAAATAAAAACAATAAAAGAATAAAATATGTATAATAAAGACTTAATATTTAGAGAAAACAGTCATCTTTAAACATTGTATTGTTCGGGAAACAGCCCGTAAACTGCCGTGAACCATCCAGCCAGCAGGGGGCAGCAGTATAATTTACAGGTAGCGGAAACAGTAGCGGATGTCTCTCTGTTTGTGTGAAAAGCCCGGCGCATGTCTGCTCTCCTGTCCGATTAGCTCCTCGGTCACCGGTTCCTGGACTCAGCAGCTCTTCCCTCCACGACCCACCGGAACTCCTGGGGACTGACCGGGAGTCTGCTCCGGCTGTGGATTTGTCATGGCGGCTGGAGGCAGTTCGGTTCCTCCGCAGCTCGGAGACGTAGAAGAAGACGCTTCTCAGCTGCTGTTTCCTAAAGGTAACAAAGAGCAACACAACACCCCCACAGCTGCATTTGCTTTCTGCTTAACTCGTTTTATGTTATCATGTCTGTATATTGAAGCAGTTGGGATGAGAGCAGCTCTGGTTCTGGTTAAATAACCACAAAGTCTATCTAATCTATCTGGTTTCCATCATTTGGTAAAAAGCTGGACCTTTGACCCAGTCTGTTCTGTCTCCATGGTAACAGATACCTGTAGCTGTCCGGATTCCCTCTATAGATGAACTATAGATGAGTCAGACATGAACAGAAAGCAGGTCCAAAACCCAGGGGCGGATTTAGGAAATTTGGGGCCCAGGCAAAGACAGGCATGGGGCCCTCTGGACTGAGAAGACAACACATAAAACAGATACAGACATTTTAACAGAGTAGACATACATTATTTGTTCTACCTTTTGTCCCTCTCTTCTTATCACTTTTCTTGTTGTTTTCCTGTTTTCTTTTGTCCCTTTTCTTTCCATACTGGACATGTACTCAGCTGACATTTAATGCTGTCACAAAAGGAATCAAAGGTTTTCCGATCTCTAAGCCCATTCTACTGCATTTCTACTGCTCAGTGCTGCAGTGGGTAGCACTGCTGCCTTGCAGCAAGAAGGTTTCGGGTTCAATTCCCCGTGCAGGGTCTTTCTGCATGGAGTTTGCATGTTCTCCTCGAGCATGCATGGGGTCTCACCAGGTACTCCGGCTTCCTCCCACAGTCCAGAAACACCTTTTTTTTTTTTTTTGAGATGAGGACTTGGTGCATGTTTGTCTGAATGCAGCTTGATGAGGCTCGTTAGCAGCAGATTTATGGACCTACAGCTGAAAACCTTGCAGCCCTTGGACAGCGGAGCGAGGTACAGGTTTAAGACTTTATTTATTTACAAAGTTTGCACTTTATGTAATATTTATTTTGTTCTGTGTCAAAGAAAGGTATCTAAGCAGATGTATTTTGTGTTTGTTTGTTTAGTTTTCACGGTGTGAACTCATTATGAATCCATTAAATGGAAAACAACTCCACCCGTCGAGGCTCTCCGTTTCTTCTTTGGTCTGAGGGACTGCTACAATGACTGTTAGGTTAATTGGCTTCTCTAAATTCTCCTTAGGTGTGTGTGAATGGTTGTTTGTCCTGTTTGTCTCTGTGTTGCCCTGCGATGGACTGGCGACCTATCCAGGGTGTACCCCGCCTCTCGACTGTAGACAGCTGGAGATAGGTATCAGCACAAACCCTGTTTGGGATAAGCGTGACTGAATTGGATGGATGGATAAGCCCATTATAACTTAGCTGATTGCTCCTTCCTGTGTTAGGTCCCTCTTTTCACTGAGACACACTTAATATTATAAGCACTCTGATAGTGTTTTAACAAAATGATTTTTAACAAAAACATAACAAATGTGCACAAAAAATAAGTAATAGCTGCATTAACCATGCATGTAAAAGGAGTTTTATGGGTTAGGGTGAATGGAAAGGAGGGGCGGGTCTTCGGCTCTTCACAACCACTATTGAGCATTTTTCCTTTGGGTAAACTTTACATGCACAGTGCACTCTCACAAACAACTACAGGTGCTTGGCTTCAGGTACTTAGAGATTCACTTCAATACAGAATACAGTATACATGTCATATTAAATACTAATAATACTTCAGCAATACTATGAAGGTGTTACTTTATTTTATCTCTTATACTATAGAAGTTAGTTGTGCTGTTCTTTTTTTACATCTCCTTGTAGGTGATGAAGCAGACTGCATATGTTTTATCATTGTCTCCCTTTTATCTCCTCTTTCTTTCATCTTTTTTCTTTTTTTTCTGTTTTTCCTTTCCTGTTATACTTACATTGCAGTGTCCATATAATCTTTAATACTCCCTGCATGAATTATAATAAAGCTATTTCTATGCATTAATCAAGCGGAACACTATGGCGATAGCCGCACTGCTGCACTTTTTGGCATCAAGACAATTATTCCTATTGCCACATTGCCAGACAGGACACTGTAAAAAAAAAAAAAAAAAAGTGTTATGGGGCCTTAGGCAACTGCCTAGTTTTGCCTAATGGTAAATCTGCTCCTGCCAAAACCTACAGGTGAGGAACGTCTTGGTTCTGTTCTGGTGTTTCCAGCTAGATTGAGCTCGGTTCAGAACTCTGACGGTGATGACCCAAAGACCAGGAACGTTCTGATGGTGTGTCTAGGTTCTGACGGTTCTGTTTTGTTCTGCAGAGTTTGAGAACGCTGAGACCCTGCTGAACTCTGAGGTCCACATGCTGCTGGAGCACCGAAAGCAGCAGAACGAGAGCGCAGAGGACGAGCAGGAGCTGTCCGAGGTCTTCATGAAGACGCTCAACTACACGGCCCGGTTCAGCCGCTTCAAGAACCGCGAGACCATCACCGCCGTGCGCAGGTACCGCCTCTCTCCCTGCTAACCACTCCTTTCCATCAGAGGTCTGAGGTTCTGATCCACTTCTGCCGGTCTCTCCAGTCTCCTCCTGCAGAAGAAGCTCCATAAGTTCGAGCTGTCCAGTTTGGCCAATCTGTGTCCAGAAGCAGCTGAAGAAGCCAAGGCTCTGATCCCCAGGTGAGTTGGTACCAACCAGGTCCTTTTGGGTTTGCTGATTAAGCACAGCCTGTTGTTTTGTTTCTATCCCCTGATAACGGCTCTTTGAAGGTATTCAGTTCTCCCACACAGATCAGTAACCCCGAAATCCCACATCCTTTGTCTCCGCTGCGCTCCAGGCCTCCTGCTCAAAGCAAAGCCCACTGCCTCCACTGTTCCTCCCGTCTTCCTCCGCTCCGACTTCCTCAGAGCTCGAGGAGAGCATGCGCTATATTACTAAATTCATAGGAGCAAAACATGCGGAAATTATCGCTTCATTTAATGACATATTAAAAAATCCCCATCAGCATCCAGCAAATGTTCAGTTCCTGCCCAAATATTTTGTTTTTGTTGTGGATTTTTGAAACTGGGATAACTAGGATCATATAAAACTGCTTTTTTTATGAACAATGTTTGTTCTCTGCTTCCAAACTCAGCATCTCTTCATCGAAACATTGTATTGTATTTTTTTTTTTTTTGACTGGATTTGATTAAACTTTTAAGCCCCTCGGTATAAAATAAATATTTCGATGGAGATTAGAAATCTGCTTCCTGGTATGCTGAAGAACAAATAGTTTGCGTCCAATCTTTTAAATAAACGCTTTTAGCTTTTTGGAATATATAAGAGTTATGCTCTAATTTGTAGTTAATCTGTCGTTACTATATTTTAACTTGACAAACCGGATCTTTTCGCCGTTCGTTTTCCTGTTTGGTGCAATTGCAATAGCGGATCTTGACCTGGCCGGACCGTAATGGAGCAAAAAATAGCTCAGCTCCGTAATCTGACGGTGACGGACGTAGAAGACGCACGTGGACGGAGACTTGCAGAAGAGTAGCGGTGGATGAGGAACAGCTCCCATTGATTAACATGACAATTTTCTTTATTCAGACCCTGCTGATTTTTAATTAACTCTAAAATGATTAATGTTCCATTTTAAAGATGCTTTGCTAAAGTGGTAATAAATCACATTACATATTAATTTTGATTAAATGTTAAAGTCTTGTACCCATTCAGGTTTAAACAGTTAACAGTGTTTCATTGAATAGGATAAAAATGTTACCTCTCTAGCAAACATTTTTGTGCAAAGGAAATTGGGCCTTTTGCAGATCTTTGAACTCAAAAGTGTGGCTGTGCTTTAGGTGGTGGAGGTTGGATGTCTTACTTTGGGTATTCCTAACAGTTTTCAGACAAACTTTGCATTTTGTGTTCTTTTTCTCAACATCTATGGCTTCATTTTGGCGCACCAATCTGCGCGTACATTTAGAATAACCTGCATCGTTTAAACTCACACATCCTCGCTCAAAACCGCTCTGCCGCTCGCTCAACTCTGACAACATGCTCTAGACTTTTTATCTGCCCACTCAGCTCCATCTCTGCTCTCGCTAAAGGCCAATTTATGTTTCTGACGCATAGCATCTGCAACCGTCAAATCTGTCTCTGTGCGTGACCACGCCCCCCGCGCAGAGGTTCTACAACTGTCGTTGCGCACCTAAAAAAAACCTGACTACGCGTTGGACGGT